TAGTGTAGTGCCTCCAGATTTATTATTATTTTTTTTTGCCTCAGGATTGCTTTGGCTATGCAGGGTCGTTTGTTATTCCATATGAATATTAGGTTAGTTATTTTCTATTTCTGTGAAGAATATAATTGATATTTTGATGGAGACTGCATTGATTCTGTATATTGCTTTGGGTGGTATGGACATTTTGACAACGTGAATTCTTCCAATACCATAAGTATAAAATATCTTTCCATCCTTTTGTGTCCTCTTTAATTTCTTTCAGCAGTGTTTTGTAGTTCTCACTGTGGAAATTTTTACCTCCTTGGTTAAATTTATTCCTAGGTATTTTATTTTTTTGGTGACTATTGTACATGGGCTTGCTTTCTTGATTTTCTGCTAGTTCATTGTTGGAGTATAAAAACAGTACTGATTTTTGCATGTTGATTTTGTATCCTACAAGTTTACTGAAATCATTTATCACCTATAAGTATTTTTTGAAAGAGTCTTTAGGTTTTTCTATATATAGGATCATATCATCTGCCAACAGGGACAATTTGACTTTCTCTTCTCCAATTTGTATGCCCTTTATTTCTTTCTCTAGTCTAATTATTCTGGCTAATACTTCCAGTACTATGTTAAATAGAAATGGTGAGAAAGGGCATCTTTGCCTTGTTCCTGTTCTTAAAACTTTTAGCTTTTCCTCATTCAGGGTGATTAGTGGTGGATTTCTCATATATGGCTGTTATTATGTTGAGATATTTTTCTTCTGTACCTAATTTGTTGAGAGTCTTTATCATGAAGGGATGGTGTATTTTGCTAAATGCTTTTTATGTGTCTGTTGAGATAATTATATGGTTTTTGTCCTTGATTTTGTTGATGTGGTGTATCACTTTTTTTGTTTTGGTATCACATATTGTGACTTGCATATGTTGAGCCATGCTTGCATCCCTGGGATAAATCCCACTTGATAATGGTGTGTAATATTTTTGATATGCTGCTGTATTTTGTTTGCTAATATTTTGTTGAGGATTTTTGCATCTTGTGTTCATTAAGAATATTGGCCTGTAGTTTTCTCTTTTTGTTGTGTCTTTGTCTGATATTGGTATCAGGGTGATGCTGGCCTCATAGAAGGAGTTTGGGAGAATTCTTCTGTTTCAATTTTTTGGAATAGTTTAAGGAGAATTAGTATTAATTCCTCCTTAAAGGTAGAATTCAGTGGTAAAGCCATCCACTCCTGGAGTTTTCTTTGTTGGGAGACTACTGAGTTATG